TAGAATCTTTCTTGAACATATTCTTCTGGAAAGCGTCACAATCCGTAATTATTCTGACCTTAGATCCTAAAAGGTAATTCCTGAATTTCTTTAGAGCTTCTACTACAGCTAAAACTTAAAGCTCATAACTAAATAGCTTCACTTGTTGGAGGCTAGTTTTTTACTCATGAAATAAATGGGGTATAACTGTCCATCATCTGACTTTTGTAGCAATACAACAGCGCCGAAACCATGACTGCTTGCTGCGTCTGTATGCAATTCTAATGGTGCTCCTTGTTTAAAAATATGAGAACCGGACTGTGGATAAAAGTTCTTTCAATTTATTAAATGCATCTTTTTGCTCAGGCCCAAATTTGAATTCTGCTCCGTTACGAAGAAGATCACTTAATGGTTTCGCTATTTTTGAATAATTGGCAATAATTTCCTAAAATACCCAGTAAGACCCAAGAAACTTTGAATCTGCTTAAGGTTTTTGGGTTCCGAGAAATTTTCAACAGCCCTGGTTTTTTCAGTAGAGGGGCGAATTATACCATCCTCAATAGCATACCCGAGAAATTCTATTTTTCTTTTCAAAAATTGGCATTTCTTAAAATTAATCTCCAAACCATATTTTTTGGCTACTTCTAAAACGCGTTTCAACTTTACTAAACTTTCGTTCTCATTTCGTGCTGGAATAATAAAATCGTCCATGTAAGTAACAACAGTGTCATCCCGAATTAAATCTCTAAACACATTATAAATAAATCTTTTGAACACGCTAGGGGACGTGCACAAACCAAAAGGTGCTTTTAGAAATTCGTACAAGCCTGCATGAGTAATAAATGCCAAATATTTAGTGCAGTTTTCCTCAACTGGAACATGAAAAAAACCACTTTTTAAGTCTAATGTCGAAAAAACCTTTGCTTCACCCAAACGATCTAAAACCTCTTCTACTTGTGCCATAGGAAAAGAATCCTTAACTATTTTTTTATTTAACTGCCTGAAGTCAACACAAATCCGTGTCTTCCCCGATTTTTTTCTGCACAAAACAATTGGCGAAGCATATTCTGAACACGACGGCTTTATAATCCCATCCTTTAACCATTCATCTATTTGATTATCAACAATTTTTTGATCAGCAAAAGGAATTCGCCTCGAACGCTGAGAAACTGGAATATCATCTTTTAATATTACTTTCATTTTTAAGTATGTACTGCACGGCTTTTCTAACGGTTTATACTCATTAATAAGAGTGGAAACAGTATTGCGTAATCCTTCATCTTTAATATGCCATAAATCTATTTCGCTGTCTCCGTCAATGGCTGCAGAAATAAATGAAACAAAAAAAATTCCTTTCCGAAAGAGACGGAATCATTTTCATATTGCGTAATCATCACTCTGGTCACAACAGATGTCACCTTTTAGACATCGAAAGGGGGCAAAACGAAGTTCTGTTATCAATTCATCAACCATCACTGCTTCTATCTCTGTTTGTTTTTTGCTTTCGCATAAAGAGAAAAATAAACTTAGCCGTTTCCGCATTTAAGCCACGTGACCAAACCGAACTTTTGAGTTCCATACATCCACTTGATATTTTATTCGGAAAAAGAGATTTCTTTACAACTATCAATTCACTTCCAGAATCTATTAAACATTTTACTTTTCTTACCATCAATCAACAGTTCAATAAATTCTAACTTATTTCTAGCTGCATTATTCGATTCAATCTTCTAACCCAGATACCTTTTTTTTTAGAACAAACTTCTCCTCCTTTTCTAACCGTTTGGGACACTTTCTCGCAAAATGAAATAATTACTCCTTTACTCCCACATACGTATAGCAAATACATTCTGGTTTTACTACTGACCCTTAGGATTTACAAGCTTCCCTGAATCCTTGAAATTGCTCTGAACTTTTCTAAGATTGTTTTAGGAAAAATTAAGCTTTTTATTTTCTGGAGTTTCGATTCGTGTGTTACTGGTATCAACTAAAGTTTTACCCCTGGATGAATAAAATAAATCACATTCTCTTCCCAATTGATTAGGTTGAAACCAACTTTGACCCTCCCGAACACTAATATGTTCCCTTGTTTTAGAATCAAGAGTTTCATACAACTTATCAGAAACAATGAGATCACACAATTTCTTAAAGTCATCTACCTCTCTTAACTTGCAATAATAATTGAAAGTTACACTGAGTCGAGACGCGAACTGAACATGCGATTCAGATGAATGTCTCTACGCATTTTTAAAATTGTTCAAACACTCACGCGGTGTTGGCTGAAATTTTTTCAAGATTAGAGTTTTTAATTTATCATAATCCGCGATTTCTTGTTCAGAAACGTACGTTAAAACGTTATTACATTTATCACCTAATATATTAATCAACACTTCTGATTTTAACTTCACTGGTACACTTTTAGTAGTAAAAGCTTTCTCAAGTGACTGAAAAAACAAATGCATAGCTTCCGGTTTCTGAGGTACAGCTATAGTTAGTGTTTTGACGCTTTTAATAATATCTTTAACACTAGTCTGCGCGTTTCCTCTATCACTCGATAATGATTGTGATTTTAAACTTTCTAATTCAATTTGCTTCTCAATTTGAGCTAATTTAAGACGTTCGATCTCTAACAGATAGTGTTCATTACTTGTTTTAGGCGTCCAATCCTCTGCGATCAACTTGACGACGCCACGAACAAATTCAACATTCGTTTTGAAAACATCAGAATTTTCGATAATTTTTCTAATGTCAGCTTTTTTAGCATTTTCTGGAACAGTCTGTCCAATTTGTTCTGCAATTACTATTAAATCACTTTTCTTTAAATTATATAGGAAACTCATTTTAAAAAGAAACAAAAGTATCACTATCTTCAAGAAAGAAATAAAGCAAAGTTTAGTTTTCACAGTACCTTCTCTGAAGTATCCAAATATCTAAATATCCCGGACAGGCCCCCAGATTTTCTGTAGTGGGGAAGTTGAAGATGCTAAATAACAATTCCAACGTCGTTTTCCACACCACAGAACATTTAATAAAGATAATCAGAAAAGGTACAAATTAGATTAAATACAAGTGCCGTTTGATACAAATAGGATTCTGTATAGTTTTACCAGTCTTACCACATAACCGATTAGTGCCTACTCGCACTTGTTGATGTATTAAACAGTTCAATTTACCACCTTCGCATGGAAAACTACAGTTCCTTATTCTACACCTTCACATGCAGACAGACATCTCACCACCTTCGCATGGGATAGCAGAAAAGTCTCTGTCATACTCCTCTTTCACCTCACTGCTGGCACATCGGTGAGGCCCTCTGGTGGTTGTGTCGCACTTACGGATACTACATATATATAAATATATTTATATACGTTTGGCGCGGCCGATTGCAACCAAAATACAAGGTGCACATCTACATGTTATAGTAGTCCTATATACAAAATTTCAACGTTCTGAGGCTACTCATTTTTGAGTTATGTGAGATACATACGTTCATACAGAAGCCACGAAAAATTCTCTTCAGAATTCATTTTAAAGCAGTTTTATAATTTTTTTTTTTGGAGGAAAAGAGTCTTTTATTCTGTCCTTACGTACAGATATCACACAAAAACATCGTTAAATTGGATTCAAAAGCGGTCAAAATGGATATTTTCGTTGAAATATGCTGCCTGAAACTTTTCGCGATTACAATACTTCCTTTTTACTTCGTACAAATAAGTAAAAATGAATAAATGTTTTAAGAAGACAACACTGTGCATTAGACAAATAAAATTGTCTTCAAGAACTCTATTAGCTTATTTAAATGCTTAACTTATTTATTAACTTACTTACTTATGCTCTATTAACTTACTTATTAGTAATATTTTTAGTACAGTGCAAGGAGATTTTGATCATGATGTTAATTTACAGAACATTAAAGAAATCCATTTACTGAAAATTCACCTATAGAATTATTAAAAGTGTCAAAAATGTAATTTCTTTTATAGGCATTCTTTCAATGGGCTTTATTAATTTCTTTACTCAGAATCTAAAAATTTTCTTTTATATTATAAAATCTGCAAAATTTTAATATTTGCAGAATTTCTAGTCTAAACGGATTTCTTGTTATCTGGTGTATTTAAATTAGATTGAACCAGATGATGCAAAAACCATAATTTTTAATGTTTCTAGGAATTGCTAATAAATATCTAATAATAAAAATCTGGTAAATAATAATCAAGGAATAAGAAAAGACTGGCATATAGTTAATGTAAGAAGTAGTTTTTAAGACTGATAAAGTGTAGCTAAATCAGAGGTCCTTTTTATGTGTATATGGAATTCTGTGTTAGACATTATGAACTCTGTGTTAGACAAATATTAAATTTCACACCTTTAATTATAAAAGATTCATAGACGAGTACAGAAATTCCCCACTTTTGAGTTCAATTTATTCCTAAGAGTAATTTTTGTGATCCCAGATTCAAAATTTGATTTTGAATTAATTTTAAAATTTTTACTTTTAAATTTTACTTTTAGATACTGAATATGTATTGAGGTTTTCCTAGAACGAGAGCTACATCACTGCATTCCTATTCTATAAAAAATCTTGCTTGGTTGATTTCTCAATAACTTGAATTAAGCATTTAAATGTTTATAGCAATTTTATTAAAGTATGTCTTTGGGTGTCATATGTGTTACTAAATTTGTTTCTCAAAATGATTTCTATATTTAGTTATAATGATACAATGCAATGGATGTTATCATAATGAAAGAAACACTTGAAGTATGTCTGAAAAATTCAGATATTCAAAGAAAGCCATTTGCTTTCACTTTTAATATAACTGGTATTAAGATAAAATCATTGTTGTTTGAAAGTGTTATCAGAATTCAAGGTCTGCCTATCCATTTATGTTTTGACCTTAGTGTAATAATGATTTTCATTATTTTTAAATTTTTATGAACTGACCTTCATCTCTAAATTATCTTTATAGTTAAATAATACATAAACATTTTCCATTAATTATTTTAAATTTTGTTTTAATTAGGTACCTAACTGCAAAAATAGTTGATGGAGAGACTTATAATATATTATGCCCAGCATATCAGTGTCCTCATATGGTTCCTGTTGATGTAATAGAAAAGCTAGTGTCAACTGATATGGTGAAAAGATATCTTCAGTTTGATATTAAGGTACATAATAAAATATTTTTGAATGCATTATTATCCTCATTATTATTATTATCATAATTATTATTATTTACTGTAAAATTTAGCTGTTTGCTACTAAGTGCATTAATTAAAAGCTGTTATAAAATTACTCTGACTGGAAAGTTTTAAATTTCACAAACTGACTGGAGTTATCAAAAATTAATTTATAGTCACAAATATACACTAGATCCCTTGCTATAAATTAATTTTTCGAATTATTTGAGAAACCATTGATCAATCACTTTTGGATTTAGAACTATATCTTATAATACACTAAACATTCAGCAATTATGAAAGTGTGTATAAGTACCAGATACCTCATTTCTAATTTGTTTTATGGTATATTTTTTTTTATATAATCTACTTCTGATAGATGAATGCAATGATGATAGGGTGAAAACAGTTATCATTGCTTGTTATTTAAAAGTCTCTTTGGGAATAAGAAGTGGTAATCAGAGGGAAATAAGACTTGGTACAGTACAAAGTTTGCAATCCAGACTCGTCAGGACTTCGGCGATTCCGGATTAGGGGTTTTTCCGAATTATAGATCATCAATTTGTACTGTTTGTTAAATTAATAAAATACAAGGGGCATCTTAATAGAAAATTGCAGAAGTAAGAGTTACAAACAAATTATCTTACTTGCCTTTGAAATAATCACCAGTAGCTACAACACACTTTTTTGACATCGGTTCTAAAGTTGTTTGTTGTTTTTGGAAATTGTCAGCAGATGCATCTTATGGAATCTCTCAAAGCACGTGTTGTTGGATATTCACAACGTCTGTGAAGCCTAAACCTTTCAAGGCTAATTTAAGGCAGGGTCTGCTGCCTTTAAATTGGGTGAATAAGGAGGGTAAAGAATGGTCACCTTGTGTTGAGTGAGAAAGTTTATCATGTGGATTACAATGTGTGGATAGGCATTGTCATGTTGGGAATTTTTCTGCTCAAACATGCCAGATATGTTGCAGCAGCCATTTCAAAACTCCCTTGTAAACTTCTGCATTTAAAGTTTAACTCTCGAGTAAAAATTCATTGTGGACAAGCCCTTGCTGTGAAAAAAGACAATCAGCATTGCCTTAATCTTGGATTTTGTCATCTGGCTCTTTTTTAGAGGAAGGTAAGAGGAGAACACCATGCTATTGACTGTCGCTTAGTCTCTGGATCATATCAGTAGCACCGGATTTCATCTACAAATCTTCTGCTCTTCCAAATGTTCGTAAGCAATAGTGCTTATGCTGTCTTTGCTTATCTTCAACGCTTCTGTTTTCATTCTGAAAGACAACTGCCGACCATCTGCAAGCATCTTTTCAATATTGTCTGGAATTGTGCTTGTTGATGGTCAACTCGAACGAGGCTTATCCTCGAAACCTTCTTTTTCATCTCTAAATCATTTAAACCACTCAAACATATACTTTCTACTAACTGTTTCAGCACTGAACGCTTGCACTAACATAAGTCACCATCGTTGTTTTCCTTAATTTGAAGTAAAACTTCGTGTTAAAGCGTTGCTCCATTTCCCAATGGCACAAGTTCTCACACTGCTTCACTTGCATGATAGGAGGCGCTTGTTGACATGTCTGTCAGTGCATATGCGCAGGTGTCTCGGCCTAACCAGCACAGTTTTTAACATATGGGACCATTCACCAAACTTTTCAGGTGCACCTTGTATATATATATGAGTACAGAGATTTATTTGGAGTGGGATGTTGCTAATACTGACTTTTTTGGTTGGAATAATAGTGCTAGAGAGAAAGAATTAGATCCGGAAGAAATTAAATTCAGTTAAAATAGCAAATTGCACTCTTCTTTAGCTAATTTCTGGCTGTTGTTATTGCAGCTATTAATTAAAATTAAAGTTTCAATATTTGATTTTGTTGGAACAGAGTTTCTATTTCTGCAGCTGTAGTAGGATCTGCAAAGCAAAAGCTTAGTTGGTACAAGCCTCTGTAGCATTTTTGGCACAAGTAAATGAGTTGGCATAAATCAGGCATAAGAAACTGCAGTAAACTTTTCAGTTTATGGAATTTGTAAAGAAACATGCAGAAATGATAATAAATGAAGATGATATAACAGAAGCTCTGCATTGTGATATCCAATGAGCAATCTGCTAAAGAAAAATCTGTAGTATGGTTTTAAATCCAGAAAGTACCACTAGTGATGAATTTATAAAAAGATGTTTAAGAATGAAAATATTTTAATTGATAGTTTAATGAGAATTTTTGTCATATATGATTTAAACAACAGAACTTGTGGGAAAAATACCTCCCTAAAAAATTAAAGAGAAGGTATTATCGTGAAAAATAAAATAATTTACACAACTTACATTGAAAGAAATGTTTATTAAAACAAATAAATGAATATTGAGCTTTTTTTGTAAATTGTAATTTTCTTAAAGTTAGAAAGGATGTGCTGTTTCATATTTTTAATTTTATAATTTCTGCATGTCATCTTAGCATATTTTAACTGATTATCTAAAATCTGGAAATTTTCAAAGTCCCAATGATCCCAGATCTTAAAATATGCAGGTTTTTTTTTTTTTTTTTTTTTTTGTTTTTGTTTTTGTTTTGTGTGTGTGTGTGTGTGTGTGTAAATGTATGATGTGTGTGTTTTAATTTATGTTGAGAATTTGAGCTGTAGTATTGAGTTCTTATTTATTTAATTACTTATTAGAGTATTCAGGGAATATAAAAAGCAAACAGATTTACTTTTCAGTGAGGATAACAGATAAAGCAGAATTTTAAAAGAGGCGCAAAATTACTCTTAACATGAGCGATAAAATTTAATAGTGAAATTGGGGGTTAAAGTCAATATGAAAAAATATGGTTAAAAGATAAAACTAAAATATTTTTTGTTTGTATGCTTGTTATCAAGTAAAAGTGATGTAACAGGTTAATTTCGAGTAGTAAAAACAAAGAATGATAAACATTAATTACAAAACAGAAATGGTGATGAATAAGTAAAACTATACATTTTTATGAATGGGAAAGATTAATCTGTGCTTCTTTGGACTTTTTGTTTTATTTAGATGTACGCATAGGCATGTATATGTTCGCAACAGTGTGTGTTGCCTTTGTTTTTATGCATGTATGTGTGTGAATTTCATGAAATGCCTAATGGCTTAAAAAAGTAGTGTTACAGCCAAAAATATCACGTCGTGGTGCAAAATATCGTGGGAGAAAAGAAAGCAAACAGAAAACATCAGAGTTCTAAAACATCGTGGTACAAAATATCATCGTAAAAAAAAAAAAAAAAAGGGGAGTTCAAAAACATCGTTATTTAAAAACATTGTTGTCAAACATATCATGGTAAAAATAAAGCACCTACAAATTATCACATAACTAAAACATCACACACATGCATTTTTCAGGTTTTGAAAGTTGTAAATGCATATTCGCATAAAGATTTGGAAGTGCAAGAAATGTTAACGACATTTTAAGAATAAACAGAAACAAAACAAGATATAATTTTCACCAAAACAATATCAGAGTACAGTGAAAGAAAACATTTTGATAATTAACTAAGCAATTTTTATAGAGGTAACCTCATGCAGTTATTTATCTTCCTTTTTCTAAATATTTTTAGGCTGTATTTTTCATGAAAAATCATGAGTAAAACTTTATAAAAAAGATTAATTTATTAATGACCTTTGTTAATTAACTGTATCTTAATGTAAATTTAAAATTCTGTTAAATGCTATAAGTTGTATTAATGTCCTACTCATTTTTTAATGCTTCAGTTTCCTTCTTACATTTTCAGCAAAAAATGTATTAGTTCATTGAAAAATATAAAAATAAAAATATTCCTCTTTCCTTTTTGCACTCTTAAATCTTTATGTAAAAATGCATTTAAAACTTTTAAAACCTGAAAAATGCATGTGTGTGATGCTATCTTCATACAATGATTTGTAGGTACTTTATTTTTTACCATGATATTTTCAACGATCATGTTTTAAAACTGCGAAGTTTTCAAACCACTTCGTTTTTTATGATGATATTTTGTACAATGTTTTAGAACTGTGATATTTTCTTACGTTTTTCCCATGATGTTTTGTACCATGACATTTTCGCCTTGTGTTGTTTTCTCCACAACATTTTCCCTGGACACTGCAACTAGTAGCCATCCTGTTTATGCAAATTATTGTTCTATGATTTTAGAGGTTCCTTTATTAACTGCATTATTTTACAGGCATTTGTTGAAAGTAATCCCACAATGAAATGGTGTCCACATCCTGGTTGTGCCAGAGCTGTGAAAATGCCTGAATTTGAAAAAATAAACGATGAAATTATGGCAATATCATTTACTGTGCCTCCATCTTTATCTCATTCAGTTGATTGTGGGAATGGACATTATTTTTGTTGGTATGTTTTCATTTATCTAAGATTAAAAATTAAGTTTCTTTATGTGTATGCAATTTGTTTTTATTAGGAAATTAAAATTCTCATTTTCATGTTATATGAGGAACTGTAATATTGATCATTAAGTTATATGTATGTAATTTTGAATGGAAGTACATTTTAAGTAGTGTATTTGCTCTTGTACAAGGTAACCAAAAAAGTTCTTGTTGTTTTGGTCAGTTAAAGTGCTATCTCAAACGATATTTGTTGCCGAAACATAATGTCAGATGGAACAATTCTGAGAATTGCGCTCCCGCAAAATCGGGTTACCATCTTCACTTGGTAAATAGGCTGAAATCCAGATAAGAATCACTTAGATTGGTGAAAGTGACGTTTCCTTTCAAGCGATGATTGGTTTTCCATGTTGTATTTTGTTTTGCTCACACTTTCGTTTTAAACTTTATTGTTAGTTATGGAAAATAATAGAAAGGTGATGGCTCATAAGTAAATCACTTTTATCTCGACTCTGGCGATTCTAAAAGCTAAAGAGAAAAACATGCAAAGAGAAGTCCTAGTCTTTGTAATGATCTGTTTGTATATATTTGATTTTATTATTGTAAATAGTTATTTTTGTATCCATATATTTATTTAATAACTTTTATGTACATGATATAATGTCATTTATTGATATTTGTGTGGCGATGAGTCAAAAATTTTTATTGCATCCCCAAATTGTTAATATTTCATAAAGGCTACTTGCTCAATTTTTTGTTTAAACTCCCAAGTATAGTTACAAAAGCAAAGGTTATGTGTAAATGGGTGAATTTTAATGACTAGCCTAATGCACAAAATGCACTTCAATTATTTTTCATACTGTGTATTCCATATCCATGATAATGTGCAAAAACTGATGACTACAGTTGCTGACACTTACGTAATCGTTATATGAATTAGAAGTAACTTCAAATAAACTTTTTGGCAATGTTCATTTTTGTATTCATACATAAATATATATACACATCTGATAAGTTATATATTTACTTACACATAGCAAGAGAGATGCAATGGTTTAGAAGTTTTTGATGTATGTTTATTAGTATTAATATAATGAATAAGGTTTTTATTAATGAATGTATATGCAAACTTTTTTATCATTCATAATAATAAATCCGTAAATTTCCAATGTTTTAATATGTAGCATTTATAATAAAAATATAGTTCTTAATGCGCTTATGATCTAAAAAGCTTTTCATTAATAACATGAAGATGAATAGCATACAAATTTAATGTGTATCCTCATTACAGTACAAAATCCGTAATCCGGCTGTGTTACATAATCCGGGACTTCGGCGATTCCGGATTATAAATCATCAGTTTAAATCTGTAAGATGGCATGCAGAAATTATGCATTTAAAAATATGAAACCCTAATTTATGAAATAAAGAGCAATTATGATCTAAAAAGTATCAAAATTTACAAAAAAAAAAAAAAAAAAAAAAAAAAGCTTAATATTTATTTGTTTATTTTATTAAACATTTCTATCAATGTAAGTTGCTTAAGTTGCTTCATTTTTTATGCTAATAATTTCTCTTTAATTCTATAAGCAGACATAATTTCTGGTTCAGTTACAAAGTTCCGCTTTCAAGTCCTGTAATTGCTGTGTCGAGAATATTGACTAACTTGTCAATCAAAATTTTTTTGTTTTCAATAACGTTCTCTGTTACTTTCTTCACTATCGGAAGCGTGCATGGGTAAATGCTTTACTGGCTTTACGCGCGTGCAAAACGGACGCGCGCATCAAACGCGCACGCGTAAAGGCTTTACGTACATGCATAAGTTTGTGGCTTTGAGGTCCGAATTATAGATCATTCCAGATAATGAACGTCTGGATTACAGACTTTGTACTGTGTTACATAATTGTGTTACATAATCTATGTTTTAATAAGCATACATATTCGCTGATTATGCAGTTTCAATTTAAAAGTAATAAAAATAATTAGCAGAAAAGTTAAGTCGTGCATATACAAACATATTTAAAACAATTCTATTATATAACAATAACATTCTTTTCAAACTATCAGCACGAAACACAACAAATTTGGCAAACTTTTGGAGATGAATAATTTATAAACAAATCATCAGAAATAGCAGGTCATCACCGAGCACATCATAAAATATTGTCTACTCTAAAATTTCCACGATTATAAATTTAATGAATGTATAAACATTTAAAAATGATTTAGACAGTATATTATAACAAAATAGCAAAATATATATATGGCTTTTTCCGTATTTCTTCAATTAAATCAGCATCTATTTCCACCGTCCATGATTTCACAACGAGAGCCATCACTATATTGAAAATTACCTGTGATTTTTTAGAAGCAAGACTTTTGTCTGATTGATTGAACGTATGTGGAACACGGCTCCAGGCGGAACATTTTTGGAAAAGTTTCTAAATGTTTCGCCTAGCTAGACAAAACATTTGTCGGAGGCCTCCCGCTTAAAGCAGTGCTACAAGAATCTCATTTCTCGGAAATGTCCCGCCTATCCACCCACGTCAATGGAAGTGATAAAGCTCTTTAGATGAAAAAGTCCTAAAACAAATAATAATCACTGCTAATCCTCAAAGTAATCACCATCGACATCTACTACCTTTTGCCAACGAGTGACTAGCTGTGCTATGCTATTGCAGTAAAACTCAGGAGTCTTGGACGCAAAAATGTCCATGAGGTCCTTTTCAAGGCCTGGCTGGTTGTTGAAAGATTTTCCACAAAGGTGGTTATCCAGGGAATAGAAAAGATGGTAGTCTGTTGGCACGAGTATGGTAGATGGGGTAGTGTCTCCCAGCCCAGTCGCTGGATGGTGTCCCTGGCCTCCCAAGCCTCATGCAACCTCGCATTTTCATAGAGGAGGAGTACACCCTTCCGATTAGCCAGTGCTGGTTCTTTATGTATCAGTGCCTGATGGACATGTTGCAACTGCTGTGAGTACAGGCCTGCCGTGATGGTTTTGCCCACTGGCAGGAGCTTATAGTGCACCACTTGGCAACTAGCCCACCAAGCATGATCTTGCATAGGTGGAGAGTAGGTCTCGCAGTGTGAGGCTCAGAGTCCTGTGGTGACAACCAATGTCTTGAATGCCTGGGTTGTCATACTGGACCCTGCTCATGAGTGCTCGATCAAATACGCTTGCATTGCAGTGAGGAGTAAGCAATGACAAACAGGCAGCGACATGCTGTTGCGTGTTTGCGTCAGACAGTGACTGGGGTACCCACTTGCTCAGCTTGTATGCCTTTCCTATGTGGTGCAAATTGAGTTTGATCGTTTCATCACATACCTGGAAATGTGCAACAAGTTCACCACATGTTTGGCTACTGTCACTCTCTATTTCTGCTCTCAGGGCCTATATCATCCAATACTTTTGGCCGACCACTGCATGGTGTATCACTAAGAGACATATTCCCTGACCTGAACTTCTGGAACCATTGCCTAGTGTTCATTCGTTAACTGCATCATCCCCAAAGGCTTGGCAAGTTCACAGACTCCATTCTGCTGCTGACAGGCCTGCTTTAAAATCCCACAGCAAACAACTCCAAACGAGCACCTTTGAAGCATCCATTTCAATTAGTCATGTGTGAGTTATGTATGAAGTACCAATGCAGTCTGCTTTTATACTCTCGGTCAATTTCTGGACTCCCATCCTAATCACTTCATCGCCAGGTTTTGGCGGTTATTTTTTTTTGCTGGGGTTTACTCTTCTAATGCTATACCAAAAAAAAACGACATGAACATTTTTGGTTACCTTGTAGCTTATTTTTGAGTGTAGTGAGTGTTATCTTATTTTGAGTGAGTTTTCATTATAATAGTCCATGATATATTTATATTTATAAGCGTGTTTGGCATATACATATTCAAAATTATGTTATTAAATTATTTGTTACCAAAGAGTATATCCTATGGATTTTCTGCAATTATTTTCTTGTGATAGGGAGTGTTTAGGTGAGGCACATGCTCCCTGTGGCTGTGAAAAATGGCGAGAGTGGCATAATAAAATAGCTGAAATTAAACCTCAGGAATGTAAGTAAATCTCAATATATTAATTGAATTTGCTTATAGTTTTAACTAATATTTTTGAATTAAATGTCTGAATAACCCCTTCCCCTCTAGAAAATTATTATGTAGAAACTTTTTATTAACCTAAAAAAGTTGTGTAATTTTATTATATTTCCATTTTGTGGCTAACTTCTATTTTATTTGTATTCTGTAATGATCAGAATGACATTCTAAAATTTAAAAAATATTGGATTATTGCAGAAGCTTATGCTTAATTTTCGTAGATTCATATTTCCAGGTATGATCACAGGGCAGCAGTGTTGTTTACTTCATAGACATGTGTTGCGATAGTGACTGGGTAGCTGCATGATGTGTGATTTTCAGAGATTGTTGATTAATGTCAGTTTACATGAAAGGATTTTATCAAAATGGAGAATGAAAAGTTGCATATATGTCTTAATTTGAATCTGTTTCAGAAAATAAATCAATAAAATAAGTATTGGTACTCCAATAAAAATATTTTTATGTATATGCTTTTATTTTTAGCACAGTAAAAACAGAGTTTTGCAAATTTTTAAATGGTGAATGGATGATAATCTGCTTTGAAACAGCCTTTTGCCAAAAGCAAAAGATTTGATTGTGCTTTAGTGAAGATAAGTGAAGGATTACAACAGAAGAAATCAATGTGAAGCTTTAGATTGACAACTTGTTTACACTTAATCATTTACAAAAACTTCGATTCACTGCCAAAATTAATGGGTGTAATGTTATCTGATAGAAAAGAATAAGTTGGGCCCTATTTTTTTTACTGTATCTGTACTTGCAGGAAAAGATTGATATTTAGCACATATTGAAAAGTGGGTGTCAAACAAATACATACAATGAATCATGTTCTAATATTTTTTCCACTTTGCAAAAGTGTGGCCTGACATTGTGATTTGACCGATGTTGGCCAAACTATAAAAGCATTCAAATTCCACATCAAGCAGTATGAATTTATGTTCAAAAAGGAGAAATAAAAAAATCATTGATAGCTAATCATAGTTAGGCACTAAATCACCGTTCTGATTTTGGTTCTGCAAATATTCTACATAAATCTTCTTTATGTAGCCAATTGGATTTCCTTCAAATTTTTCAAATTCACAAAAATTTAACCTCTTTAATTAATGACACTGAGGTGAGCCCATTTTCCCCTAACACTTAACATTAACCCCTAACATTATTAGAAATTCTGGCAAAAGGACAGAATTTCTAATATTTTAGTTTTTCAGGTTTTATTATAGTTATCCTCATTAGATGGTGTAACATTCATTTTCACTTTGCCCTGCAATCTATATATTTTTGCATTTTCTTTTCTTTTCAAGAAAAGAGATCTTTGTGTGATTGGCCTTAAAACTAATAAGAGTTTTATTCAAAATTGACAGCAAACTTAGGTTGCTTTTTAGCCTAATTTTATGGCAATTTGAATTTTAATGATTGGTGATATTCAGTTAAAGATTAAAAAAAAAATAATAATAATAATAAATATCAAAGCTTTCAGATTTTACATTACACCCAAAGGGGCATTTCTTAACATTTTGTGTGTTACCTTTATTTATTAAATATCATGTTCTTCGCACTTAAACCATAAAATTCAATTCAACAACAATATGACAAAATAATTTTAAAATGAGCATATCATTAGAATTTCCGATAAACAGTTTCACACACTGGAGACAAATACTTTTTTTTCCATACAGTGTTGCCATTTTTCGCTTTGAAATCATTGAGTTTGTTAATCAAAAATTAACTTAAGTGTTATAAAATCTTAAATTGATAATAAAATGAATTCCAAATTAGGGTTTCCAGATGCCCACAGGCGGTGGACAATTACATTATTCAAAATTTAATGGCCCTAGGTACCCTTGTTTTATCACAATGCAAGAAACATACATTTATGCAGATTCTTCATTATTTAATTTCTTTAAATATAACACAGGGCCATAATATTTGGTAGCAACAGTTTGAATAGTGAAACAGACATTTAAAGTTTTTGACAAAATTAATACTCTTTTGGAGTAAAAATAAAAAGAGGTTCAATGCACTTCAGAGTATTTTGCAGGCTTTTCTAAGAAGGGCATGTTATTCTGTGTAAGTTTATTCTAAACTCAGCAAAATGGTTTGATATGTGTGTAGCATTGTGCACTAAGGGAGAAGTAACATTTACAAGGTATCCAACATAAAATCAGTTGGATGCTGATAATCAGAATTTTAATGCTATCTAAAACTAACAGCTTTTAATGAATGTGGAAAACTTTCCAAGAAAATCAGTTCATTAGTTGAAAACGTTTTTTTTTTTTTTTTTTTTTTTTTTTTTTTTTTTGTGGGGGGGGGGGCATTTGTAAAATTGTAGTGAAGAAATTTAACAGGAGACTAAACAAAAAGGAAAAGCAAAAGCAAATTTGTTAATTTCTTACTCTGTGATATTTGTGTGTGTTTTTTAATATAAATTCCTTTTAGTTTGTCCAGTTCATACTAAATTACATTAACAAGGAATGTTAAAAATTGCCCAAGAATTCAAATCTGGTTCTAAACTACAAATTTCATTAATTAACTTGAAAAATGAACCTGTGGAGAAAAGATCCTAAAAGAGAAAATGACAAGATTATCATTCTTTATGGTAAAAAAGATTTTCTGAAAGCTTTGTTAGTAATAAAAGGATGAGAGTTATTACTTTCATGAACAATAACTTTTAAAACTTTTGAGCCCAAAAGTTGAGTAATAACTTAAGTGCCTGAAGAACTGATGAATAGAAGAAAGTAATTTTTGTTTGGTAGAATGATGATGTTAGTCATCAATAGGCAGGTGGATATTAAAAAAGAAATCATTAAAGGGCCTGAATTCTTTATGCTGTAAAAAACTGTGTGGAATGAAAAGAGTCTATTTAAAAATTTTCTGAGTTTTAAGATAATCCAAATTTTTTAATTCATAAAGTGTTTGTAAATTAATCTGTTTTTACATCTAGAAAGAAAAAAAGAATCGATAAATAACCAACATAATGAACTTACTTTTGGAGCCAGTTATCTACAGACACTTGATGCAGTTCTATCACCTTATAGCATTATATTTGAGTTTCACTAACCAATGACTGATTTGATTTTTAATTTCATCTTACGTATTGTCTCATTTCATGATAGGCTTGTTCATTCCAGAGATTATACAGATTAGAATGGCAAGCAGTTTAGTGCAGGATTATCAGGAAAGAATCTTCCAATTTCAAGGTTTAATATTTTCCATAATTATAAACAGAAATTTATAAATAATATGTTATTGTAAAGGGGAAAATGTTACTTTTTCTCATAAGTGTTTGATAGGACTTCTTTTAGTCACTCGTGTAATAGCAATGGGATATGCCATTTCTTGCCAAATATGTCGTAATGTGTCACTATTAACTATTTATAAAGCATCACAAATGCAATGTGGCAAACTTGTAGGCAAAGGTGGTATGAATAGAAGGTCTTTGACATATCCTCAAAGGCAGAAGTCACATCGAGGTTAAGTCAAATGAGCTAGGAAGATAATTATGTGGGACCGAATCATCGGCTGCACTGCAACCAATCCAATGGTGTGGGAGTTCTCTGCTTAGAAATTAAAGCTTCGTTCAGATGGGGGCGTAAAGAGCATAAGTAGTTAAAGCCGAGCTTCATTGCCAAGGCAACCAGTCTGTGCAACGTCACAAAATCTGGTTTAGGGCTCGTGGCATAGGGTTTAAAGTTTTCAACTTTACGCCGAGTTTGGGATGAGCGTCGACCAATTTGAGCGAAGCTAAAACGAAGCGGTGTTCTACAGAAGATTTCGCTGTCACAAAACAAGCAGAGCGAATGCGGGAAATCAATTAAGCAGGAGAACAGTGTGGGAAAGTTGTAGACACATCCACCATGCGCAAATTTAGCTTCTCTCATTGGCCACAGCTTACACCCCGTTCTCGCATGTGTGAACGGAATTCCCGTATTTTATGCCCATATGACTACGCCTCTATGCCCTTTACGCCACCGTCTGAACACAGCCTTATGGGCCTCCAAATGCCAATGGGACAGTGCACCATCTTATTGAAAAATAAAAATTTTGCATAGCTTCCTTCAAGTGAGAGAAAACCCAAATTTCCAGTATATCGAGGTAGGTAATACACTCTCTGGTTTTTTGACACACACACACAAAAAAAAAAAAAAAAAAAAAGGTGGTTTATAAACCTATGATAAATATACTGCACAAAAGGCATTTACTTTGGGGGAATCCCATACAGGCTCAATGTTGGCATGGGGATTTTCTGATCCCCAAACTAGTACACTGTGGCGGTTTACTTTGCCACTTAAATTAAAAGGGGCTTCATCACCAAGTACAAGTTGATTGCAAAAATATTCGTCTTGTATAGCTTCATCAATGAAAAGACAGTAGTTTAGACATTACAACTTATCACTAGGCTTCATTACTTTCATGCTTTGCAATTTGTGAGGCTTAAAATGGAATTTTTTAAAGTAAACTTGTGTCAGTGCATTTTCAGAATTATATCAGCTAATTGTGATGATTAACTAAGTTAGCTTTCATGTAGAACCTGAAGGATAAAAGTTGAATTAATAAGAATTAAATATAATTTTATATTAAGTGTTACACAGCTTAGCAACTAATCATGTGGCAGCATGTAGTGAGGTCTATGTTAACACTTTCTTCTCATGCCACTTAGCCTCAAGTGCAGATCTGAACACCTATCCTGGCAGCAAATATGTTAAAACATAGAAGAAAAAAAGTTTATTAGAATGGGTCTTGAACTTTCTCATGCTAAAAGCTACATTTACATGGTTTAAAGGAAGCTTAGTAAAGACAATTAATTTGTCCTTTAATGCATTAAATATGGAATGGTTGAAATCTGATTGAAAAGCTAGAAACTAGACTTCAAGCATTTGGGATATTAACATGAACTGTGGATTAAAAAGAAAAGGACACTGAAATTAAGTATTCTGAAGCTTATAACAAAATCAAAAACGTTC